CTGCAGACTTCCCATGCGCACCAGCGGCCTCGCACCTGTGACTCTTCCTTCCGCATGTGCGAAAATAGCATAAGAAGCAGCTTCAGCTGCATTTTCCAACTTCGACAAATCCGTTAACCACCCGGAATCACCCCGAGGCCCTCGGGACCTCAACCAAAAATACCAACAAGTCATATATCAACATATAAACTTAGTCGAACCTTCGAATCACTCAAAACAACATCCAAACATCAAATTACCCTCGGATTCAAGCCTAAGAACTTCTAAATTTCCTAATTCGGCAACCGATGCCGAAACCAACCAAACCACGTCCGAATGACCTCAAACTTTGCACACACGTCACAAATGACACTACGAACCTACTCCAACTTCTGGAATTCCATTCTGACCCCGATATCAAATTTTCCACTGCCGACCGAAAATTGCCAAATTTCCAATTTCGCCAATTCAAGCCTAATTCTACCACGAACCTCCAAATTTCATTTCGAACGCGCTCCTAAGCTCAAAATAACCTTACGGAGCTAACAGAACCGTCAGAATTAAATTCCAAGATTATTTACACATACGTCAACATCCAGTTGACCTTTCCATCTTAAGGTTCTAAATTAGAGACTAAGTGTCTCATTCCACTCCGGACCCGAACCAACTAATCCGGTATAACATAATATAATTGAATAACATAAAAAGAAGTAGAAATGGGTAAAATAAGGTTATAACTCTCGAAACGACAGGCCGGGTCTTACATTCGCGAACGCGGAACATGCCTCACGTTCGCGAAGGCAAATGGCCAGGTCCAGAAAACCTTGGCCTACACAAACGCGACCCGGGCCTCGAGAACGTGGAGGCTTACCAGCCTTGCCCTACGCGAACGTGAATCTAGTGCTCTGATACCATGTTATCACGACCCAATATCTCCTATAGGCCGTGATGGCACCCAACGTTACCGCTAGGCAAGCCAATAGTGAAATACCACATGATTATTTCTTTTAACATTTTAAAAACAGCTGATTTTTAATTAGAACATAAATAGAAAGTAAAAGTGTAATAAGATGAGAGAAAAATAATTTTTCTTTTTTTTTTAGCAAATTAGATAAGTAAAATAACCCAAAAATCATCATGTGTCTACTAGCATAATTTCTAAGACCTGGTGTCACAAGTGTATGAGCTACTAGTAGAATATACAAAAATACTACACCATTGTCTGAAGTGAAATAGATAGAAAATAAAAGCAAAAGGAAGACTTCGGGTGCTACAGAACGGGCTCGGAAGCCAGCTCACCACAAAGTCTCGATGAAATCAAGGATGCGTGCCGGACTGATAACCAGATACACCTGCTTCAGATCTTGCACGATTAGTGCAGATGTGTAGCGTGAGTACATAAACAACTTGTACCCAGTAAGTATGTAATCTAACCTTGAAGAAGTAGTGACGAGGGGTCGACTACGACACTTACTATGGACTAACAATAAAATACTGAAATTATAATTAAGCATGGACTATATAAATACACCTGAAAACTCAATAACAAGAAATAAATGAACAATTCTTTCACTAATAGTAAATCCCAAATTAATTTTCATCATTTAACGAATTAATCTCTCACACCAATGAAACAATATCAATTATAATTGGGCTCTAAGAATTTTTTACGCACGAATTATGTCGAGATCGTACGGCCCGATCCAACATACAAAAATATAAATTGTGCACTGCCGAGGGTCAAACGGCACGAACCATAGATGCATCTATTAACCTGCCGAGGCGAACGGCCCGCACCCATGAGAGTAGTAGAATTTTATCTCACTCGCGGAAAATACTTGCGACGCGAGTAAACATAGATTTCTCACAGTTATCATAATATTCTTCAATACTTTCCAAAAATATGGAATCTAAACTGAAACTTTAAATCTTGAAATCGCCAATCTCAGCTCTTATTCAATGCAATTAAAAGCATGATCAACTAACGGTGTCAACAAAGCATGAAGTAAACCTAAGACTACCCGGACATTACATGAAATGTAGCTACGCACGGACTCTCGTCACCTAGTGTGAACGTAGCTCCCCAGACAAATAATTTACAACAAAACACACCTAAGAGGATGAGTTCCCTTTTACAAGGTTAGAAAAGAGACTTACCTCGTCTCAAAGCTTACTTTCCGATCCACAATTGTGCTTTAAACCCTCAACTCGGTGCCAAACGACTCAAAACTAGTCTAATGTTATATAAAATAATCAATACATGTTCAAAAGTTCATATCCTAACTATTAAAGTGATTTTCCAACCCTAATTGAAGAATTCCTAAAATTCACCCCCGGGCCCACGTGCCCGGATTCCGAAAATATTTGAAGAAAGTTGTTACCCATAATCTCATAAACTAAAATATATAATTTTCACTAAATTCCCCAACCATTTTCGTGGTAAAATCCCATTTTTATCAAAAACCTAAGTTTTTCATCTAAACCCATGATTTCTACAAATTTACATGTTAAAATCTATCCATAATCTATGTATTAAACTCACATTAGGTAAAAATTACTTACCTTCAATAGCTAGGTTGAAATCCCCCTTTTTGAAGCTCCAAAATCGCCCAAGAGTGCAATAAATGAACCCAAAAGTGGGTAAGTCCCAATTTTTAAAACACACTGCCCAGCTGCCCTCTTCTTCGCGTACGCGAAACAGGTCTCGCGTTCACAAAGATAAACGGCCAGGTCCAGAAAAGCTTGGCCTACGCGAATGCAACTAGGGCCTCTCGAAAGCGGAGGCTTACCAGCCCTGCCCTACGCGAACCCGAAGAGCAATTGGCACTGACCCTCCCCAAGTCCCTTCCTTCTACGCGAACGTGATGGGGCATTCGCGAACGCGTAGGCCTGGGACCTCAAGGCTCCGCGAACGCAACCCCTTTATCGCGAACGTGAAGGGAAAATTTCCCCACTGCCCAAATCCTTCATCGCGAACTCGTGGGTCCTTCCGCGTTCGCGAAGAAGGAAACCAGAACTGAAATTTCTGCTTTTCCTAACTTAGCTCGGGGCGGTCTGAAACACCCCTGAGCCACTCGGGACCCCATCCAAATGCACCAACAAGTCTATAAACATGATACGGACCTGCTCGAACTCTCGAAATGCGTAAAATAACAACAAAACCTAGAATCACACCCCAAAACCAAATCGAATCAAGTTATGAACTTCAAGTTTCCAAATCGCTCCGAAAAGGCCAAATCATACTTAGACTACTCGGAATGACACCAAATTTTGTGGCCACCATACGGAACTATTCCCGGTCTCGAAATCCCAATTGGACCTCGATAATACTAAAACCTACTCCAAAACAAATTTAAAGAACTTTAAAACCTTCAAAGAGCCAACTTTCACTATTAGGCGCTGAAACGCTCTCGGGTCTTCCAAAACCCGATCCGAACATACGCCTAAGTTTGAAATCATCATGCGAACCTATTGGAACCGTCAAATCCCGATTCCTAGGTCGTTTACTCAAAATGTTGACCGAAGTCAAACATAGCCTTTTTGGCCAACCTTAAGGAATCAAGTGTTCAGATTTCAACCCGAACCCTTCCAAATTCCGAACTAACCATCCCTGCAAGTCACAAAACAGTAAAAGCTCATACGGGGAGTCTTATTTAGGGGAACAGGATTCTAAAAAGCAAAACGACCGGTCGGGTCGTTACAGCCGCGCTATATTTGAACTTAAAATGGGCGGGAAAGTATAGCGCGCATATATACCGTGCTATATTATAGCATGGTACATATGCGCGCTATACCGATATAAAAGGCGTGCCTTCTTCTTCCTTCCCCATAGAAGCGACCCCTCCCCCCCNCACAAAAAGTGTAGATTCTCGGTATTGTAGTAAGCTAACATCGTATCTAAGGTGTTATCGCATAGTGGGTTGCTCGTTTCGTTTTCAAATCATCAAATCTTCAACTTTCAAAAAAAATAAAATCGAGGTATTCCGACTTATTTTTTGTTAAAACTCATGTATAAAAAATGCCTATTAGTTATTTTTTACTGTGTTCTATGTTATTTCATGATTTTTTTGCGATTTAATTAGTTTGTTGTTTTTTATCCGGATTATATTATTAGTGTGCTAAAAATAGTAAAATAGAGAAATTGTTATTTTATGAATAATTAATATTTTTCGTTGTTATAAAAAATGGTAATTAGTTATTTTTTAGTGTGGTATATGTATTTTCGTGATTGTTTTGTGATTAAATCAATTTAATTTTTTTTATCCGGATTTGATTATTTATGTGCTAAAAGATTAGTAAAATAGATAAATTATTATTTTAGGAATAATTAATCTTATTTAGATGTTATTGTTGTACATATATTATTATGTGATTTTAATGTTGTTTAGTTCCCTGTAGTGTTATGTTGTGCCCGTAATTTTAATGTAGTGCCCGTAATTATAATGTAGTGCCCTTTAGCGTAGTAAACAATGTAGTGCCCTTTTGCGTAGTATCTTTGTAGTTATTGAAATAAATTATTTAATTATTTGTTAGCCCCAAAACTATCTGAAAAAAGATGATAGTTCAAACACAAATTCTTTCGAATTCTAGTCAACAAACGTAAGAAAATAACATTAAAAACAACAATATTTGTCAAACTAAGTATTTTTATATGAATATTAAATAATTAAAGCATATATAGTTATGAAAATTATTTATTTAATTCTATTATACTCAAAAATAAGTGACTAAGAAAACAAACATATAAAATAAGAAACAAACATATAAAATAGTAAACTAACATATAAAATAATAAAGTAACATATAAAATAATAAACTAACATATAAAATGATAAACCAACATATAAAATAATAAATTAACATATAAAATTATAATATAGAAAATGTATCAACCTAAGTAATAATATAGTAAAAATATCGAATATATTTTAATATTAAAGATATTGCAATAAATTTAAAGATGTTAAGCAATTAAAAAGAAAAATACTTTAATTAATATTGTTCAATTCACAGTCATCGTCATGGAGGTTCCGCATGTGCATCCCGGTCCTGCATCGCTAGAGCTACTATTGCTACAGGCCGAGCATAGGTCTTCATACGTATGGGATGGGCAGTGTTTGTCCCAGACATTCCACGCCATACGTGTAGACGACATGTGGGAGTTCATTAGGGCCCACCCACTCCATCCCCGTATAATTAGACGCCTTCAGGATACGGATTTCTACAGGATCATAGAGATCGGCCAGTTGCAGTTCGACCGGGCGTTGATCATGGCTATGATAGAGCGATGGCGACCGGAGACGCACATGTTTCATCTACCCAACGGCGAGGCGCCCATCACGCTTGAGGACGTGGAGGTCCTTTTCAAGCTGCCGGTTGATGGGTTACCTGTAGCTTACTCGCATGCTCTCAGAGACTATAGGGGCGACGTGATAAGGATGATCCTGATAGCGTAGCCGGGCGGGATGGGATGCATCTCAGGCCAGCCAATTCTTTAAAGCATACAGGCGGTGGGACACATTGACATTTATTATTATCTGTATATATGATATTAAATATATAATAGCAACATTATTTATGTTTTACATAATTTGCGCATGTGTTTTTATTTCTCGGGTTATTTATTAGTTTAATACTACAACACACAAAAAATGACAACTTAACATAATTTAAATTCGGTACAATTAATGATAATGCATGACACGTAAAACATAAAGATAAAATACTAAACTCAACACATCCATGTGTTTGTTTAGTCATTATCACCCATTATTCTGTGCTTTAACCACTTAAATTTCTCTTCCAACCTATTTTTTTCTTCTTCTGCCTCTTTTAGTTTCTCCTTCACTGCCGCAAGTTGTTGTTGTAGTTTAAAGATCTGGAGTTCATATTCACCAGTTATATTCCAAACAAAGTGCAAACATGATTTGTAGTATTCCTGGTTAATGGGTTCATCATACCATTCTTGAAATCTATATTGATTTTCGTCATACCAATGGGGACTATAACACAACACTATTAATTAATAAGTTATAAAAAAAATATTAACTAACGTTTTTTCCAAAATAATCACTTACAAGTTGTTGACAGAACCAGCGTTTGCGCCCCAGATTGCAATTTGATCAACATGGCTTCAAAATCGCATGTTTGCCACAATAACACCTTGGTACATCATTGCATCCAGACATTTCATAATGCAAGAAAAATGAAAAATTAATGGAAAGTTTTCCTATTTGTTTCGTTAAGCGCAAATAATAACTAAAATGCGCTAGGATTTTATTGGAAGCAAATACACATAATGCATATTGGTGGCGCACTATGTTTCGCATGATAATGATTCTTTAGGGTACAAGACAGTTTTTCCAGAACGGCAGCTTTTTCAGGTCGACAAGACAATACACATAACGCATATTGGTGGTGCGCTATGTTGCGCGTGATAATGATTCTTTAGGGTACAAGACAATTTTTGCAGAACGACAGTTTTCAGGTCGACAAGACAATACACATAACGCATATTGTGGCGCGCTATGTTAAGCATGATAATAATTCTTTAGGGTATAAGACAACTTCTTAAACTGAACCAAGAGATCCATATTCAAAGACCATTTGAAGAAACATTACAACATCCATTACTAAAATGACACTAACATCTAATAAGTGGTTCAAGAAGAGGCAAAATGGTGAAGGTTGTTCAACAGATCCCCATGGAACACGTCTTAACATTATCGATCCCTACCTTGAAAAAAATATGCTAGGTTGCTATACTGATTTAGGGTACCTGAAGGTATGCGAATTTGGGGCGAAAAACTACAACGGGTTCCCCTTTACTCAAAACAATATGATTATGAAGTACTATGTTTGCTGGCATGGGTTTCTTGTGCCACAAGCATTGTCTGCAACTTTCCAAACAAACACACACAAAGATGAACCAGAAGTGATTCGGTATTTGATGAATGAGATTCTAGAGATGGAAAAGGTACTAGCTGTTCATCATGCAATGGATGATCTTAACTACCTAGGAGGAACGGAGGATCAGTACTGGGGTTTATTAGAAAATGAAAAATTACATAGAGACAGTAATTATCCTATTTTCGCAATAGTTGTTGAGTGGGAGGAACTACCTAAGTTTCTATCACAGACGTTGGACATAGGAGACTCATATTATTGTAGAAATCAAGAAAGTGGTCTTGTTGATGATAGCGATGAAATATGAGAAATGTGTGTCAACTGGGGCCTAGATTACGATGCCCTCGGTCCCGAAGGGTGCATACACGATGTTGACGAAGAAGATGAAGACAATGACAATGAAATAGTGCCAGACAGTGACGATAATGGCGAATGACAATTATTATTTTTTTCTTGGGGTGTATGTTAAATTGTTGTACTGAAGTATTAATGTTAAATATCAATTAGATTTAACCCCAATGAAAACATAATTTTATTTCATACATTTTGGAAGATGAACATTTACATACATTTATTACAATAAATTACTACAACAAAACACTACGTGTATCCTTGATAATTGGACATATTGATGAACTTCCACCAGGAGTTGAATTACCACCGCTACCCAAACCAGCTGAATGACATTTACGATGGTCGTCTCCTGTTTGGGAATATATTCCACATTTATGCGCATAAACGGTATCACCAACATCCATTTTGTTCCATATACGCGTTCATTTTTGCACTTGTCGTTGACGCACATAATCCTTGTTACACACCATTTTAAATGGTTCCAGCGGCCAATAATGCTCATCACCCACTGGCTGCAACTGTACACTATAGGTGTTTAAGTATGCAGCAACACTATATTCTTTATCAACGTACCTCGTTACCGCAAAACCTATATGTTGAAATCACTTCATGGCATGAGAGCACAACATGTGATAGATGGACCATTTCCCAAAGTAGCATAACCTTCTGGCCTCATTGACGGTGTGTGTATTATTCCCTTGGTTGTGATGAATAATGGTGCGAACTTCAAAACTATTTCGCTCGTTGCAATAGTGCAAAAATGAATGCCATTGTGCTCGCTTCCTCTATTTCTTAAATATTTTCATTGGTATTGGCATAAATGCAACACCTATTTCCATCAATGACGATGCACCTCTAAATATTTCAACAAACCTCTCCACCATCTACTTGAATGACATCCGCACGATGGCAGTGACAGGCAATCCACGTGCAGACTTCAATAACCCATTGAAAGACTCTAACACATTTATAGTGAGAATTCCCCATCTTCTGCCACCATCCGCATGCAAAGACCACTTTTCAAGCTCATGTCGCATCAACCAACTATAGGCTTCTTGGTCTTCCTGCCTGATCAATTACATTCGCCCCCTATATTGACACTCTTGGTGATCTGTTGCAGCCATCCACATTAAATCATGCAAGTCCTTATTCGGTTAAGCCCTCTAGAAGTTGGCCTTCAGGTGCCTCACACAGTAACGGTGGTAGGCATATGGTTCCTACCATGCACGCACATTCTGTACAGAACTTAAAATACTGCAATGCCGATCAGATATTAGACAAATACCTAAACGTTGTCTGATAACATGCTCCTTCAAGTGGTTCAGAAATAATGTCCACGTCTCTTGGCTTTCATTGTCACAAATAGAAAATGCTAGGGGAAATATACTTCTATTAGTATCTACTACAACGGCGATTAACAACTTAATATCATACTTTCCATAGACATAAGTGTCGTTTATGGATATTACCGGCCGACAATGCACAAAACCATCAATGGCTGGTTTAAATGCCCTGTGTTCTGGTATTCCCGAACTTCGCTCAAGATTCTATTCAACAACAGTCTCAGGGTTAAAGTGTTTCAATGCGGCCATGTACCTGGGTAGAGAGGCAAAGGACTTATCCCTGTTACCATAAACAATTTCAAACGCACGTTTGCGCCCGAGAAATGCCTTTCTTTTGGTAATGGTACATCCATATACCTGGTGGACAGATGTTATATGATGGTAGGCTATAATCCCATATTTTAGTTACTTATTTCACTCTAATTTACTGCACTTTAATTGAGTTGGAGCTTTAATCGCTAGTGTTTTGCACTAATTGTGTGTTTTATGCCTTGTAGGAGTAATTACGATCTATGTAGATGCCGTGGAATGAATTCATACTATTTTGGAGCCTTGAAGTCTAAGTTAAAGCCCAAGGATTAAGTTTGGATCATGTTCAGGGATCAATGGATGATAGTGCACTTTAAGAACGCAATGAAGAATCGAGCAGGCATATTGCGCATTGTCCAGTAAAATGCACATAACCTTTAGCTCAGAAATCTGTTTGGGCTCCACAATATATCGTTGGAAATCTATTTAAAAGGGATAAAACTTTCATGTTTTACACTTTTCCAAATGCCTAACTGATACTACCCAGGTGCGCGATCAAGTGCGCGATCGCGCACAGGGCGCGCACTTGGGGCAGAACGGTGTGCAAAATGTGCGACCAAGTGCGCGAGCAGGTCCCCAGGTGCACGACCGCGTATGTCTTATCCGGTAAAAGTCCTATTTCACTAAGAAAAGGGTAGTTTCATCCGTTTTTGTTTTGGGGGCAGATTAAATACCCCAAAACACCATTTTAGAAGGACTTTAGACATACCTTAGGCCGAGGGAAGCTAAAGAGAAGAAGGAGAAGCAAGGGCACAAGGATTTCATCCTTCCTTCCTTACTTTAGATCCGGGTTTGGATTGTATTTATGTTTTTCTCTATTTTTGTTTCATTTGTGAAGAACTTCTCCATGTGTATGGAATAGAACCTTTTGGGTTTTGATGGATTTGGTGTATTGATGGTTGTTTGTGGATTATAACTCTATTTAATTGTTGCATCTATATTCACTAGTTCTTGTAATCGAAAGAGGCATAACTTGTGATATATTTACACTATATTGTTGGGTGAGTTCATAGATTCTTCTAAGTAATCAAAAGAGGCTAGTTGAATCCTTGATTAAACCTAGTTAGGAGGATAATCGAAAGAGGTTCTCCTAAAGACCAATCCATTATGAATTCTTACATATCTTCACCGAGCTTAAATTTGTTCATATTGTGAGGTTGAGACTTAATCGAGAGAGGAGTTTCTACTAAACATTTTTACTGATAATGGTGTTTGAGGTAGTTTGTAGTGCTAATTCAGGAATTAGCTTTTTATTTTATTTTCTTTTATTTTTAGTTTGTTTGGTTAACTTATCTTCAACATTGTTTTTTTTTGAAGAAATCTTGAAGAGCATATTCTTGTTATTGAACTCTAAATGATGTGAAGATGGAATACAACCAGCCTAAGAAAATAGTTGAAGCGTTAGCAGCTGAATATTATCAGCGGTGTGCTACGTGTTTTAAATGCGGTGGAAATCATCTTTGGGTTGATTGTCAAGAAGGTAGGTATTCTTCCTATAGTTCATCTTTTGAACACTCTCACTTTGTCTCTAGTCCATACAGGTA